ATCAGTGTTTTCTTTTTGCTGAATAACTAATTAACCAAAAGCACTTTCTATCTTTTTTTTGCTTTTTTTTTTTGAACAAAAATAAAACATCAAAAGCCAATGATAAGGTGGTGAATGAAATTGTTGACTTAAAATCATTCAACAACAATAACGAAGATATTTGTTAAGGTTTTTGTGTGTGTGTGTGTGTGTGTGTTTGTCAATGTCAGTGTATGAAATTTGAATACAAAAAAAGAGAAAAATGCAACTTAATTTTAGCTTTTAGTCTTAAGTTATTTTAAAAACAATTTTTTTTCCTTGTATATACATAAACCAATTATTATAGTATCTATACATTAAAATAAATTTCATAAAAAATTGTTATGGTATCTTACTGTTACGGAATCGCAGCCGATGCTTACTTCTGTGTCGTATGTTCACCGAGCTTAGCGGTGTTAATTCACAGACACCATACCAACCATAGGTGATACATTTACTGCCAATTCCTTCGCAATCGTTGTGCTTTGAACAATAGCGATATTTCATCGGTGTTAACTAAATAAAATATATATTCAAAAAAAAAAAATACTGCATATTTGTAAATACAATTCTTCGCTTTGCTTTCAATTTTTGTCTTATCTTTCTCAAGGAAATATTGATGCTCTATGATTAACAGCATTAAAATGTTATATAACAATTAAACAAAAAAAAAAAAAAAGAAATTTAAAATATAAAAATAGATGATAAAGGCATACAGATTTTTTTTCCCACCGTAAAAAAAAATACAACACGATTACATATCATCAATTTAGTCATTATTTTTCAATCCTCTTCCCCACCCCCCTCCCCCCTCTTTCTCTCCTCTCTGTTATTTTCAAAAAAAAAAAAGTACGACATCAATGAGAAGTAAACTGTAACAAATATTAATTTTACTGTCACTATTTATTCAACCAATCTATTTTTATCGTATAATATTTATCTAAAAAATAAAGAAATTTTTTGCGTGAAAAAAAAAAAGAAGTTTTTTGACTTACTGTAGCAGCAAAAGATTGTGGTATATAAGAACAAATTTTTGATAACTCATATTCGTTGTCGATACACTCGGCACCGGTTGGACAATCAGCAGCTGTATTGCAGTATCGGACACTTTGGCTATAATCAACAGCCCAAATAAGCAACACCAGCAGTACTAAACTTTGCATGTTGAAAATTCCAACTTTTTTATTTTTGGAATATTCAACTTATCCAATAAATCCTGAAAAAAAAAACCGTATTTAGTTAAAAATAATATTCAAAGAACTGAACAGATAAAAAGTGAAATAACAAAAAAAAAAAAAAGAAATTGATAGAGATATAAAAAGAAACCACTTGAAATCTCTTCGAATATGAGCTTTGATGAACATAGCAGAAGATGAATGAATTGAAAGACCTGCAGTCAACAGTGCTAATCAGACTTAAGCCAATGTTATTTCATTACAACCCAGGCTTAATCTTCTTTTGTTTTTTTTTGACACTTTTTTTTTGAACATTCAATTTTTGCAGCTTTTTTTTTTTCTAAATTTTTTTGTCATTTTCAACAAGTCTTTTAAATTATTAGAAAAAAAAATAATGTACGCTGTATTAAGACTAAGACAAACAATTTAGCACTTTTATCTTCAATAAAAAAATATTGAAAAAAGCAGATCAAATTGCAAAAATTAATAAACAAAAAAAAAATCTGTACATGCAGAAAAAATTGTGAAAAAAAAATTGGTGTGCAAAATTGCCCTCTTCTCAAAAAATCAGTAAATTTTTGCTTTGAATTCTGCTTTGGTATAGCAGTTGCCAAAGACGTTTTCAATCACATATAAACATATATAATGTAAAATAAAATTATGTTTTATTTATCACTTTTTAGGTTTTATATTTGATAAATAAAAAAAAAGTTGAACTTGCAATTATAAAACTTTCTGTCGTTCGCTAATTTTGCTCTTTTTTTCTATTATGTTAAAACTATGGTAAAACTATTTCAGTGAAACAGAACACTTTTGGATTACTTCAGAAATACTGAAGTTCTTAAACAGTAAGTGATTGCAGAAGTAAGGTTGTCAGGTTAGTAATGTTGTTTAAGAAAGCTTAATTAAGGCTGAAAAATACAAGAAAAAAGAAGAATTTGAGATTGTTTATCAGATAATACATCTTTTACTTGTAATTTACAGTTTTTTTGCCTTTTATTCTCGTTTCAGTAAAAGACTATAAAATTATGACCGTAAAGAAGGAAAAGACCGTGCAAAGTGGTGCCGTATTTTTTAAGTTATACCCATTTTTATCACCAAACCTTCAAAATATTCATAAATTTTAAGAAATAAAAAGTAATTTTAGTTAATCTACTGACACTAATCGGCCATTAAGCTAAAAAGATTAGCAATAAATCGCTAAATTAGGTCAACAAACACCACCAAGCTAAGTAACCAAAATGAGTGATCCACAGAATAAACTGAAGGCGACGAAAAACTGCTTTGGTTAAGGTCAAGGATAATTCGCGTGAAACGAGGAAAAAACTTAGAAGTGATTGATAAAATTTTGAATAGTTGAATAAAAGTTAGTTGTTCAAAAAAGTGTTCGACATAAGTCTCAAATAATCAAGTAAAAACGTTCACAAATAACTGCCTGAAAAAGACCAAATAATACCAGACACTTAATTGGCCAAAAAAACTTGCAACTTCTGAAGCTTAAAATTCCGTCCAAAGGTTGTGTAGTTTAAGACAAGCAAAAATTAACAAAGGCAAAAAAGAAGGAATAAACAGGTGCTATTTATGCTAAAAATTATTTACAAATATAAAATTAAAATAAATGAAAAGAAAAGCTGCTTATTTCAAGAATAAAATTTTAAATCAAACGTTTTTTAACCAAAGAAAATCGCACAAAAAAAAAGCGGTCCAATTAAAGCTGAACAGTGGAATTGAATTTGAGAAGGCGCAGAGTGGAAAACGAGGAAAATATGAGGTAAATTTTTTCTTAACTATACGATTTATATAGAAGTCGAAATTTAAGGACATGACTCATCAAAACAAAGAATAGGTTGACGATTAATGGCAGATAAGTTTAAACTTTTGGCAAATAAGAGCTATTAAACTGTTTACAGAGGTCAATGATGCAGAAATATTTCCGGATTTTAACTTGTTTGAACGCAATTTATACAGTTCTACTTTTTTTCAACGAAAATTTTACACCCACATATTGCTATTATTCAGAAGAAAGCAACCTTTCTTTAACTAATGCTTTTTTTTGGCTAAGTAAGATTGTAGGGTTTTACGCATTCTCTGTCAAAAGACAAAAAAAAAAGAAATAAAAA